AAAAAAAAAAAAAAAAAAAAAAAAAACCTGAGGCACAAACACACACATGAGCCTAGACCTGTGTGGTGCCAGGATCATCAATATTGCATCTTTGCCTCCTCATCTTGTCTGCTCCCCAGAAGGTCCTTGGGGGCAATAGCATGCAGGGAGCCATCATGTGCTGTAGCAGTGCCTTCTGGAATGCATCCCAGAGGGCTGGCCTGAGATACTTACACAGTTGTTGTTTTGTTTTGTTTTTTCTAAGTAGAAGGAGTACATTCTAAAACAACAATAAAAACTATAGTATAGTAAATACATAAACCAGTAGTGTAGTTCTTTATTATCCAGTATTATGTACTGTGTATGGTTGTGCTTTTAGATGACTGGTAATGAAGTAGGTTTGTTTACACCAGCATCATCACAAACATGTGAGTAATGCATTGTGCAATGACCTTAGGACAGCCACAAGGTCACTAAACGGTGGGAATTTTTTAGCTCCATTATCATCTTACAGGACCACCATCATATACATGATCGTCCTTGACCAAAACATCCTTACACAGTGCATGACTGTGCATATTGTTTTGAAATCTACTTTCTTCATCGGTAACATTGTGACTATCTTTCCATGGCAATAATTATATGTTTTGTATATATCTTTTATCTTTTTTTTTTTTTTTTTTGAGACAGTCTCACTCTGTCAGCCTGGGTAGAGAGCTGTGGTGTCATAGCTCACAGCATCCTCAAACTTTTGGGCTCAAGCAATCCTCTTGCTATAGGTGCCCACTACAACACTTGGCTAATTTTAGTAAAGGTGCAGTCTCGCTCTTGCTCAGGCTGCTCTTAAACTTCTGAGCTCAAGCACCTGCCTTGGCCTCCAGGAGTGCTAGGATTACACATGCAAGCCACTGCTCCAGGCTTCTTGTATCTTTTTTGAGGTAATTGTAAACCAACATGCAGTTGTAAGGAATCATACAGAGAGATCCGAGGTACACATTGTCCAGTTTCCCCAGTGGTCACATCTTGCAAAACTACAGTGCAATATCACAGCCAGGATACTGACAGTGATACCATCCACAGATTTTATTCTGGTTGCCCCCATTTTACTTGTTTCTCATTACTGTGAATGTGTGTATGTGTGTGTGTTTTGGTCTGTGGGGTTTTAGACATTTTTAGTGCCCAAATCCCATCATGGGGTGAGCCTCAGTTTACTTAACAGTCCCATTTGGACGTTGAATCTGCATGCTTTCTGCTGCAGGTAAGAAACCGTGACTCAAACTAGCAGAAGCAGCGAAGGAATCTGTTACCTCACCTAGAAGAGGGCCCAGAGGTGGAGGCAGCTTCAGAGTTGGCCAACGCAGAGGCAGAGTTCAATGACCCCGCCAAGGATGCATGGGCTTCCTCAGTGCTGCTCGTGCTGGTAGCAAGATAGCTGTAGCAGTTCCATGAATTGTAACTATTCCGTAGGATAAAATCCTAGATGTGGAATTGCTGGGTTGAAGGGTTTGTACATTTTTAAGGTTTTTGATATGTATTTTGCTTTTTTTAAGTAGATATTCACCGAGACCAACTTCCTCTCTTTCATTCCTGGCTTACTCACTCATAAACTTTATTGTCTGATTGGGTGAGTTCTTCTCCTGTGTTCCAGATAATTCCCAGGAGCCTGAAGAGGAGCTCGCACTAACAGCCGTATTTCCCAATGGAGACTGTGAGGACCTTGGAAGGGGGTCAAAAGCCCAGGATGGAGTCATCCACACTCCTGCTGAGCCTGCTGGAGACTCGAGATGAATGAAGGCTGGACCCTTGGGCTGTCCCTGGTTCTAACCTACACCTACAGGGCTGTCCTGGCTCTCTCTCTGATCCCCCACGTCTCCATGTTGGCCTTAGCCAGTGGTATCTACAACAACCCCACCTGCTGGGGGGCTGCAACATTCAGAGTTACCAGCTAGACAGAGGGACTTATTAAGATAAGCTGGACCCAGAAAAATGTATCCCCTGGGAACCTACTCCCCACTTAGCATGTGCTCACTTTGTGATTGCAGGGAGGTTACTTTGTCTCTCTGGGCCTTGCTTTCTCTGAGCCATTGAGACAGATGACTTTCTGCTTTGAGGCTGTGCAGTGCTGTGGGACCCCATGGTGTGTTCGCATGCTCTGGCTCTGTACAGGAGCATTCATTGTTTAGAGTACAGCTGGAAAGAACTGTAGACCAGAAGTCATCAGGTCTGAGGCATAGCCTTGGACATGTCACTCATTCTCTGGGGCTTCTGTTTCCCAAATGCATGAGGGGGCTACCAACCCAGAGGCCTTCAACTGGGCACAGGCTGTCCCTCCAAGCAATGCTGGAAATGTATGTGTTGGGGGAGGTCACTGTGACTGTGGGGCACCCCCAGCATTTTGTGGGTATTCCACAAAGGGCAGGACGGCCTCCAACAACATAGACTGAGTCTACTTAAAATGCCAATCATGTCACCTTTGAGGAAACTCTGCATGAGCCAACTTTTCCTCTCTGTCAACAAGCGCCCCAGAGCAGAGAGGGTCTGGTCTTCAGGGACTGGGCTCCCAGGGCAAGCCAGAATAAAGAAAGACCACACTGTAGCCTTGGGGATCCACTGAGCCAGGGCTGAGAAAGTCAGTGTGGTGCAGGGCCAGGACAGAAATAGCTGTGCACACCTGTGAGAAGAAAGAGCCTTTTTCTTTCTCATGCTGACCTTGACTTTCTATGCCAAGTCCTTTAAGGATAAGAATATTGGGAAGTACCCATGGCACCAAAAAGAAGGAGAGCTAGGAGTGTGAGATGCTTGAGCATAGGACTTGCTCTAGATGACAGTCCTAGCCCAAATTCAAAGTAGACACAGCCCAGAGGTTCCTGAATCTTTTCTTCTGTGTCTGAGCCTAAGAGTGGGGAGGGCTGTCTGTCTACTCATAGCAGAAGCTCTGCATCACCTCCCTGGTCTTTTTTACCTGCCCCTGGAGAAATCTAGACTCTTTGGAATGGCAAAAGCAGCTCCTGATCTTCCTAGTGGGAAGCACAGTCCGAGGGAAGTAGCCGCATACATTCACTCACTTGTGCGTGATTCCCTCTGCAACATACACATACTGTGTGCTCCGTGCCCTGTGAAGTGCTGCATAACTTAGGCCATCCCAGCTCTCCCTGTGGTAGTGTAAGCTGTGTGATATGAACATGCTTTTGGTTGAGGGTCTCTATGACATTAAGGAGGGGCCCTCCTTGCTCTATGCAGTTTCTTCTCAGTTTCTTCTTCATAATAAGGAGCCTCATCCTAGCCCTGCCTCATGGAGATAGTGTGAGGACAAGCAGGATGACATCTTTACATTTGAGGTTGTTTTTCAGGAGGCTTCATTTTAATAATGCAGGGCTGCCAGGCGTGGTGGCATGCACCTGTAGTTCCCAGCTATGCAGGAGGCTGAGACAGGAGGATCATTTGAACGTAGGAGTTCAAGGTTACTGTGAGCTATGATTGCACCTGTGAATGGGTACTGCACAGCAGCTGGGTGACATCAAGACCCTATCTCTAAAATTAAAAAAAGTAATAATGTAATGCAGGGGTGCCTCACCAACAGACTGACCCAGCTGGCCTCCTGCATAATAATGAACTCAATGAATTTTGACTCATTGTTTTTAATTGATTTTGTTTTGAAATGAGGAGACATATATTTTTGAAGCTGCTATATTTTTCTATTTCTCTATTTCTTTGTACTAATTGGGTTGAAGTTTAATGATTTGATGGGGGAGGGAGGTTTTTTAATTTAGAAATTTGTCTAAGGCAGAAGTTATGAGATGCCCAAATCTTGCATTTGTTGCCAATGTTTGGAACTTGGGAAGTTGCACATAAAAAAAAGTAATAATCGAGTTTTCTGGGTGGAGGGTGGGGCATGTCTCCAGTTTGCTGCGTTTCCCCACCCCCTTCCACCTCTGGTCCCTCTCACTCCCTGCCTACCCCCCACCCCCTACTGCCCTTCACTTGTAGAGGACACCTGCCCACCTGCCTATGCCGGGCTGGGTGGGCGTTGGAGCCTGTAGCCTTTCGTCTAATGGTGGTTTACACATTGTCTTTTCATTACCTTCAGTGTTTCCTATGAATAGTTGAAGAGAGAAAGTCTGTTTACTGAAATGGGTTCCGCCTCCCAATCGACAAAACAGGCCTGAGCTTGTCTCGGCTTCCTTGAGATGGCTACTGTGGGCACCGTCTTTATAGGGACAGATTCTGTTATTTTCTAGCAAACAGGTACCAAAAGGGATAACCTTGGTGATAAGTGTCTTCTCTGAAGGACTTTAAGAAGGCCCAAAGGTTGGGGTGGGTCTGTTTATGGGAGGAGACCCTGGATTAGGTCAGGAGTCCCAGGAGCAGTCAGCAGCAGGCCTCCAGCAGGGTCACAGTCTGGGCTCTCAAGTGCTCATCTTTCTAATACTGCAGGGTTGTGCCCCTTCTGACTTGAGTTGATAGTTCATTCTATCTAATAAAATCAAACAATATCTTATTGGTATCTAATCAAAAACAGAAGGGCTCTTCCACTTCTTGTTTTGTTTTTGTTTTTGTTTTTGAGACAGAGTCTCACTTTGTTGCCCTAGGTAGAGTGTGGTAGAGTGCCATAGCATCATAGCTCACAGCAACTCTTGGGCTCAAGCAATTCTCTTGCCTCAGGATCCTGAGTAGCTGGGACTATAGGCGCCTGCCACAATGCCCAGCTGTTTTTAGAAATGAGGTCTCACTCTGACTCAGGCTCACCTCAAACTCATGAGCTCAGGCGATCCACCCACCTCGGCCTTCCAGAGTGCTAGGATTACAGGTGTGAACCACCTTGCTTGGCCCTCTCTTTTTTTTAATGTCAATATTCATTTTGGTCAAATCTGTTGGTTTTGGGGTTTTTTTTTATTTTTTATTTTTTTGTTGAGACAGAGTCTTGCTCTGTCTCCTGGCTAGAGTGCCGTGGTATCAGCCTAGCTCACTGCAACCTCAAATTCCGGGGTTCCAGTGATCCTTCTGCCTCAGATTCCCTAGTAGCTGAAACTACAGGCACCCATGACCATACCCAGCTAATTTTTCTATTTTTAGTAGAGATGGAGTCTCACTCTTGCTCAGGTTGGTTTTGAACTCCTCCTAAAGTACAGGGATTACAGGTGTGAGTCACTGAACCCGTGCTGCCTTCATTCTTACAAGGTACTCCTTGCAGGGGCCCTCGGGAACAGGAAATCTGGGCACATGGTAGAAGCTCCTGGAAGTCTCTGCCCTGGTTGACATCCCCACAGCTCTACTGGGATTAAAGATTATATAATTTAGCTGAGTGTTGAGGTAGGTGCCTGTAGTCCCAGTTACTTGGGAGGCTGAGGCAAAAGAATTGCTTGAGCCATAGAGTTTGAGGTTGCTGTGAACTGTGATGCCATGGCACTCTACTGAGAGCAGTAAAGTGAGACTCTGTCTCAAAAAAAAAAAAAAAAAGAAAGATTGTGTAGCTAGGAAACATAAGCAAATATTTGAAAAGATTTTTTTTTTGGTTTGAGATTCATTGAGGATACAAAGAATTACATTATACTGATTGCATTTGTTAGGTAAATGCAATTACAATTGTAATTGTGTCCTGCCCCCAAGAGGTACACCATATACCTGCAATCCCTGTCATCCTCCCTCTCCCCTCCTCCCCTTTTCCCAGCTCCCTTATTCCCCTGCCCCCCCACCTTGAATTGATTTGAGTTTTTCTCTGATGAGGGTATGTATTAGATCATCAACTGCCCTCCCATTAGAATTGAGATTTTTTAAAGGCAGCATTCAGCTTGGTGTATAGGACTGTGTGTGTGCACGTGTGTACACATGCATGTTTCACCAGAGCTAAAGTGGCCTCAACTGGGTTTCAGAGACTGCTTTGTACTATGTGTGTCCTATTTTTTTCTCCTCTCAAGGTGTTTGTTTCTAAAACAAAAAAAACTGCAGCGGAGTCCCTTGGTTGTCAAATTAAAAGCTCCTTAGCAAACCTGCAAAGGGGCCAAGACCTGAGGTCCCAAACCTCTTACCTGGCAGAGAACCAAGGATATAACCTCACCGGGGAAGGTTAATGACAACCCAGGGAACTTGAAAGTGTAGCACAACTACGCTGCAGGGTATTGCTCCCTGCACTGGGGAGGCCTGGACTTTGTCCTGTTTGCATGGCAAACACAACACACTGAGCAAATGTCAGAAGCAGGCTGTTTGCACCCAAGGGCTACATAACTCCTCCTGACCTGGTTTTGTGTGTGGGTGGATCAGGATTGGGATGGACGTGGAATTTGGCCTGGGCAGGCTGCCACTTGTCGTAACCTTAGAGTTCAGGAAGAAATGGGGAACAAGGCAGGGTGGATGACCAGGATCTGATATGGACCCTTCAGATGCCTTTGGCCTGACACAAAGCCCTCTGGTTCCCTTATTTTAAATTGCACACAAACTTTATGGACACCCTGTACTCGGGGCTGAGGCAGAGACTGCCCTCCCTGGGTCATGCCACATTTCCCAGGGTATGGGGTAGCTCAGGTCCAGAGTCGGACTGGGTGCTGAGACCACTGTGGGACTAGGGCTCTGACAAGGGCAAGAGCCTTGTCTGGCTTTCCCCCTATGCTCCACAATCCCAGCTGGTGCTTCTGCCAGACCTAGGACTGCCTGTTCTCTGATGAGTGAAATCCAGAGACCCTCAGATAGGGCTTGTTTTTTCCTTACTCTGCATTTAGCTGGAGTAATGAGGCACTGAGCGACTGAGTAATAAGCCACTTTGAGTCCTGGTTGCAAAACCTGAATCTCTGTCCTGTAGCCCTAAGTGTCTTCTCTTGCTGACTTACCTTGATCATTACCAAAACCCAGGCTAACCTCTCCCTGACCACTTGCTGTCCTAAGAATTTCTTGTCACCTGCTCCAGAACCCCTTGGTGGCAGGACAGCCACTTCTAGCCCGTTTCCTGATAGGAGTGGGTCTCACTTTCACCCTCCATACCCCTATCTGGCCTAGCATGTGAGTGTCCACAAAGATCGTGTGCAATTTAAAATTAGGGAACCAAGGTGGCGCCTGTAGCTCAGTGGGTAGGGTACTGGCCACATATGAGGCGGGCTGGCCTAGGCCAGCTAAAAAAACAATGACAACTGCAAAAAAAAAGAAAAAATAGCCAGGCCTTGTGGCAGGTGCCTGTAGTCCCAGCTACTTGGGAGGCTGAGGCAAGAGAATCGCTTAAGCCCAAGAGTTTGAGGTTGCTGTGAGCTGTGATGGCACATCACTCTACCCAGGGCGACAGGTTGAGACTTTGTCTCAAAAATATATATAAATAACAAAATAAGGGAACCAGAGGACTTTGTCTCAAGCCAAAGACCTTGAAGCAAGCCCAAAGGGCAGGGCCTGAATAGGATGTCAGAGGAACAAGGCCTGGGAAAAGGTCTAAACCAGCCCTAAGAGAAATCAAACACGCACATATGCAGCTTTATTTTTTCTGGTAGCTACACTAGAAAAAAGTAAAAAGAAACAAGTGAGATTGGTTTTAATAATATATTTTGTTTGGCCCTGAATATCCAAAATATTATTTCAACTGTTAATTATTCATGAGACCTTTTGCGTGCTAAATCTTTGAATTCTGTATGAATTTTACACTCACAGCCCAATTCATACATTACAGTTCCATCAGAAAAATTTGATTTGCATTTAGATTTTATTAAATTCATACCCTCAAGCTGGGCATATCTATAGCCTTAGCTACTGAGGGAGGCTGAGGTTGGAGGATTGCTTAAACCCAGGAGTTCAAGGCTGCAGTGAGCCGTGATCCTGCTACTGCACTCCAGCCTGGGCAACAGAGCAAGACGTGGTCTTTTAAAAAAAAAAAGCCAAACAAGAATATACACATTGTTAAACTGTTCCAAATATACTTAAAAGTTTTCCAGTAACTGAATTGAGTATCTATTTTAAAATTTCAATTAATTAAAAGTAAATTTAGATTTCAGTTCCTGGGTTGCACTAGCCACATTTCACGAGCTCAGCAGCACCTATTGCTGGTGGTTACCCAAATGGACAGCAGTTTGGCTAGCACAGAGGAGACAGGCTAGAGAACCGTCTTGGGGGGTTATTGTGGTTTCCGAGACAGCTGCCTCCCCTCCCCCGTCCTCACTTGCCCAGACCTGGTAGTCATCCCAGACCCTTGGGCAAAGGCATCACTGCCTCCCGCAGTCAGCTCGGGCAAGAAACCTCCTATGGCCAGGAAAGGACTTGTAGTCCTCAGAGGGAAGAGAATTCAGTTCCTCTGATGGCTTCACATCCTTTTGTGCATCAGTCTAGCCAGAGCAATTCCAACCACCTCGAGACGTTTCCCTCTAATGACGCACCCATCCTCGGTCACTTTGCTGTGTATCACATCTCTGCCCCCACGAATAAATGCTTTTACTACAGAATCGTGCCTCACGCGTGGCGTATGTGAAACTGGCACCCAGCTCGCGACCGGGTCGCCGGCGATCTGTGTTTTATTGAACGTTGCTGGGTTCCTCCCGTGGCCTAGCCAGGTCTACCCACTGTGCAGGAAAGGCTGGGGCGCGCGGAGGAGAGCGGGGGTTTGATTTCGCCCGGTCACCCTGATACCTGCCCTTTCCATGGAGCAGCTCAAAAGGCAATCAAGAGATTCTCCATGGCAGCACTGCGTTTCCTAAGACCCGGGGCTTGGAACCGCGGCAGGCTGGGGGCGGGATGGTCACAGGGCTCACCCCGCCCCGCCGCCTCCCAGTCTCGGGAGCACCGCGCCCACTAGCGGCCACTACAGGAACTGCCCGGGGCAGCACAGACGTGAGCACCGCTGCTCCAGACGGCCCCGCGGGAAGGAAAGCGCTTCCCGGGCCGGGCGCCCGCGTGACTTCCTCCCTTCAACCTGACGAGGCCCACGGCCCAGTCGATACCTGTGCGAAGCCACAGATGACCTCGGTTGGGCTTTGAGACGTTTTGTGTCACTCATTACTTTGCAGGGAGATGGTTTGTGAACAGAGCACTACGTAAGAATGTTCTGTAGGCGGCGCCCATAGTTCAGTGGTTATGGCGTGGGCCACCTACACCCAGGCTGGCAGTTGGAACCAGCCCCGGCCAGCTACACAACAATGACAACTGCAACAAAAAATAGACGGGCGTTGTAGTGGGTGTCTATAGTCCCACCTACTTGGGAGGCTGAGGCAAGAGAATGTCTTAAGCCCGAGAATTTGAGGTTGCTGTGAGCTGTGATGCCATCGCACTCTACCTAGGGCGACATAGTGAAACTCTGTCTCAAAAAAAAAAAAGTTCTGTAATTTCACTACGCCCCAAAATATGGTTTTAGGGGCAGAGGGCTGAGAGCTGTGGGTGTAGCTTCTCATCCAGTGCCAGTAACTACCTGACAGGGCATGCAGGCATGCATCTGTACATCCAACAGGCATCATCCAGCACCTACTATGTGCCTGACACAAGCTAGTTAGTAACATGATAAGGGACAGCAAGGTGAACTACTCAAGATGTGGCCTTGTCTTGAGTAGCTGGGACTCTGG